CCACTACTACTACCACCACCACCACCACCACCACTACTACTAGATTAATGATATAAATAATAACAATAAAGTAATAATAACATTTTACAGAACTTTGAGGTTTACAAAGTGCTTTATCAACATTTAGCTCATGCCATTCGCACGGCCACCATGGAAGGTAGGTATTATAGATATTATCATTTGATAAGGAAACTGAGTGTCACAAAGGAGAGAAAGGAATTGACCAGTGATTCACCCCAGGCCCTGCCAGATATGTAGATCCCAAATGAGATCCCTGAGAAGAGGGAGCTGTATGGAGGTATAACATGGTCTCTTTGCACTTGAGGTTGTTAGCACCATCAGTGAGGCAGAGCAGCTGAGCTTTGGGAAGGCAGCTCAAAAAAAGACATCAACTTCTCTCCATGTCTGAAGCAGTAAATAAAAGGCAGAGAAAAAGCAGGCCTCTGGGCCGGTGTTCCTTATATTGACTCTTATACTGTGGCTGTCAAAATGACTTCAAACAGCTAAGGGTAGGTGGTAGGATTCAAACCCAGGTCTTTCCTGGCTTTAAGCTCATATATACCCTTTACTGAGAGACTTTTCATCCTCATTTCTCAGAAGAGGAAGCTAAGGCATAGCATGGACATTACTTACCCTGTGGCCACCTGGCTGGTCAGAACTCAGACTCACACCCTGTCTCCTGGCCCTGAGTCAATGCTCTGGGAGACAGGCTGAGGACCGCCTTACCTGGGGGAGGGCCTGCACCACTGTGTCCAGCAGGGCTCGCATCCCAGTGGCCATCTTCAGCAGCTTCAGCACTGAGGGGAGAGCCAAACAGTGGGTCAGGGCTTGAGAAGGCCAGGAGTGACATGTAATTGCCTGTATGCGTGAGTTTATGTATGTGAACACAAAAGGGGAAGCTGTGATTTGAAAGTCTGAGTATGAGAAAGCATGGATCTGCATGTTTGTAACCACAGGGATACCAAGAAAGGGAATGAGCATGTATATGAATGAGCGTGTGTGTGTGTGCATATGTGGGTACCAATTCTTCTTACAGGATGCTCTCCCCTCCTCTACAGTAAGCCCTGCTCTCTCAGCCTCCTCCCTCTCCATTTTTTTCCTCCCTATACGTCCCCCTAGCTTCATTCACCCTAAGGGCTCCATAGCCTTCCCTCCTGCTCATTCATCATAGAACCATAGATTGAGAGCTAGAAGTGTCCTTTAAGGTCATCTACTCTAACCCCCTCATTTTCCAAATGAGGAGCTGGATGCTCAGAGAGGATCACAGACTTGGAGAGAGATGGGACCTTCAGGGTCCACCCCCTCATTTTAGAGATGAGAAAACTATGGCCCAAGGGTGTGAAATGACTTGTGCAGGGTCACACATTCTTTGCCATGCTCTTCTCCTAATGCTGCTCCCTTTTCTATGGCTCTCCCGTCCCTCCCACCTACTCCCACCTCCCCCAGCCACAGTACGATGGAGCCTTGGCCAAGTTCAGAAAAAAGCACCTTCTTCTCTTAACACGCACAAAGGCCACAAAGAGAGGTTCTCTCTCCCCACTCCCCAACAGAAGAGGCACATTAGGGTTTCCCACACTGCATCCAGGTGGACCCCCAGTCTACCTCCTCTCCTGTCCTCAGGGTTATGGGCGTAGTTCAGGGACTCTGTGAGGGCTTTTGAGGACATCTGAGGGGGCAGGCTGCTTGAACGGGGCCTCCATGAGAGGCGTCCTCTACCCCCCTCCAATCCCCCCTGGGACCAAGACTCCCAAACTAACCCACCCTGGCACCCCCTCACCTCGGGCAATACGCAGCACCCTCATGATGCGGATGATGGTGGGATTGATGGGCAGGGCGGCGTTGATCTCAATCTCCTCCAGGGTGATGCCCATGACTGAGAGGAGGACAATGGCCAGGTCCAGCTGGTTCCACCTGAACGCCCAGGACAGAAGGTAGGGATATGGTAGCACAGTGACTCAGATTCATGGCAATGATGCCGAGGCAGGGAAAGTCATCACTGACCCCTAGGGGGCTTTGCGTTGGGATGGGATGAATTGGGGAGGGGAGAGGGGAAGGGGCCCCCAATGTCTTGGTGCCTCTGGGGTCAGAAGAGCCCAACCATCCCTAAGCAGCCATTCAGAATGCCAGAATCACAGCACACAGAGTTAGGGGCAGATGAGACTTTAGGGGTCAAGTAATTTCAAAGGATCATGGATTTAAAACTATCCAGTTACTTCATTGGACCACAGATCTGGAGACCATCTAGTCCAACTGCCCATGAGAAAACTGAGATCATGAGAGGTTAAATAACTACAGTGGTTGTGTCAGAGCCAGGATTCGAACCCAGGTCCCAGGACTCTTTCCTCTGCTCCATCACAGAATACCACCTTAGAGATCATTGAGTCCAAATGCCTTCATTTTGCAGATGAGGAAACAGAGGCCCAATGAGGGGAATGGGCTTGGCCATGATCACACAGCTAAAATGCCCTGAGTCATAACTCGAACCCACGTCTCCTGAATCCCAAGCCCAAAAGTCTTTGTATTACAGCACACAGCTTTTCAACATCCCCTACATGTGGCCGATTTGCTTACGATGATCTCACAGAAGGGGCATCCTCTATATCATAGGATAGCCCATTCCACCTTGGGACAGCTGTCCCTATAAGTTGGTTGTTTCCCCTTACATCAAGCTGAGACTCTTCCCACTCCCCTCACTCAGCTGTTCCTTGTTCTAGCCAAAAGAATGGATCTGATCCCTCTTCCTCACAAAAAACCAGTGTCCAGACACCACCACAGCCCCTCCCATCCCAGCTTTCCCTTCTGTTTTGGAAAAGGCTGAGTTGGAGGCATTGGTGGAGAATCCAGCAGCAAACTGAGAGTCAGGACTGGAATTCCAAGAAGAGATGGGGGGGTTTGTGAGGTCTCTAACAAGGGTTCTCCAACTTCTACCAAAAAACCCCCAGTGAGGAGTGACTCATCCACCTTGGTTTGGGACAGCTTTGATCTTCATGCTGACCTCAAACTGCCTCTACACAACTTTTATGTGACTCATTCTCCCTTGTTCTGCCCTCTGGGGTCATTACCAGCAAAGCCAAAGCCTTGTCCACACGACAGCATCTCCAACTCTTGAAGACAACTGTAATGACTTTTTTCCAGGTTAAACATCCCCGATTCCTTTAACCAAGGCCTCATATGGCACGGACTCAGGGCCCCACATTCTCCAGCTCATTGACGTCCTTTTTTATGCTGTGGCACCCAGAATGGATTGGAATGTTCTAGATGTGGACTGACCAGGGCAGAATACACTCTGTCCCTGGGATTCTTTCAAAGGGTCCTTATAGGCGATGACTTCCAGTCCCTTCACCATCCCCTGGATGCTCTTCTACTTGTCAATATCATTCCTAAAACATGGCACCCAGACATGAGATCCAGGCATTATCCAACCAGCACCAAGCAGGAAAAGACCGTTCTCTTATTTCTGGGCAGTCTGGCAGCTGAGGGGGAAAGTCCAACCAACATCCAAGGCCCTGGGCATGAGCCCTCCTCTCTCTCCCATTAGTGATCTAGTCCCTGAACCACTTCCAGTCAGAGGCTGGAAGGCCCAAGGAAGGGAAGGATGACTTCCAGCTGGGAGAGTTCCATGAATGGTGGGTATAAGTTCCATAATGCAGTGGGAAGTCTGCCACTTTTTTTCTGTATGACTGACCTAGGCCCCAGCATCTCCTCTATAAAATGAGAGGGTTGGACCAGATGGCCCCCAAGGTCCTCTCAAGCTTGAAATCTCTGATCCTCTGATCTCAAGTCAGACTGGATTTGCCATCAAAAGCCAATCATGAGGCTAGGAAACAGCTAGGGTAGCAAGGGCGGTGCCCTGGAAAGTTCCCAGGACTAGTTGTCAGAAGACCTGGCTTGGCTATTGACTCATTGGGTGATTTTGGGGAGAGGTCCAGGCAGAGTGAAAGGAGAAGGCTGAGGAAAGAGAGAGATCACTTTCTGCTAGAGGCAATCAGGACAGGCTTATTGGAGGAGGTGTCAAAATCCATTATCTCACTTGAGTCTCATAGCATCCCTGAGAAGTAGGTGTGATAGGTATTATTAGCCCCCTTGTATGGATGAAAAAACTGATGCTCAAAGGGAAATGACTTGCCCAGGGTCACACAAGTGTTAGAGATGTGGTTTGAAACTGGATCTTGCTGGCTCCAGGACCAGCACTCTATGTGCTAGGCAACTCTGCCTCTCATGCCTGAGCTGGGCTTGGAAGGAAAGGAGTGCATTCTACAGAGACAGGACATGATGTCTGTACGTGTGGGACAGTCACCCTCTGGTCCCACAGCTTTTTATTGGGCCCCATGGAGAGCTCTAAGGAGGAGGAAGAGAGAACGAGGCTGCCCCTCACACCCCATAACATTGTAACCGGCCCGGGCGCTGCCTCATCCCAAGTTTCCACTGCTCTGCTCCTCCCCATGGTGGGGAGGTGGGAGGTCAGGTCTGCTCTACCCACCTGTCTTTGAAGAAACGTCTCAGTCCAAATGCTACTAGCTTCAACATGGCTTCCAGCACAAAGACTGTGGTGAACATGTAGTTGCAGTATTTGAGAGCAATCTCCAAGGACTGTGGGGTGAGAAAAGGAAACATGAGTCATCTCATAGAACAGTCTTCCTCTGAGTTGGCCAAGGAGGGCACTGGAAGTGAGAAAGGGATTGGCCAGAGGCTCACCCCAGGCCCTGATGCTCGTGTGGATCTTGAATGAGATCCCCTAGAAGAGGGAGCTGCATAGGGCTATAACATGGGCTCTCTGCACCTGGGGCTGTTAGCACCATCAGGGAGGCGGGGCAACTGAGTTGTGAGAACAGGAAGGCAGCCCAAAAGCATCCACTTCTCTCCAAAGAACAGGCTTCTGGGCTGGTTTTGCTTAAACTGGTCCTTATACTATGGTTTTTAAGATGTTTACTGACAAGAGGAAATGTGAGAGAATCAGGTGATACTTCCTTAAGGTAGGGGAGTGTAATTTCAGGGAGTTTGGTCTTCCTAGGATGCTTTCCCTGGGCATCCACGTTGTGTTTCTCTTATGATAAATGTGTCTTTAGGAAAGTCTTGTGTGTTGCGCTGAGCTGTAAGCTACCTGAGGTCTTAGACACAGAGGATTGCATCATAAAGCTAACAACACTTTTACCTGACAACCCCTTGCTGGTCCCTTCCCTATTCTCCTGGTTCACAAGAGGTTAAAGGAACCTTGCAGAAAGTAGGTTGTAAGACCATGACCAGGGAAGCTTTGGAATTGGACCAAGGGCGGGGAGACTGGGGGCTGAAGAGAGGGCCATGCATAAGTTTTGAATGAAGTCAGAGTTGGCTGGAATACTTGGCTTCCTTTAAATCCCAACTAAAATCCCACCTTCTACAGAGACCCTTCCCTAACCTCTTAATTCCCATGCGTTTCCTCTTTAATTATCCTGTATGTTTGGTGTATGTTTGTTTGCGTGTTATCTCCCCCATTAGATTGTAAGCTCCTTGAGGGCAGGGCCTGTCTTTGCCTCTTTTGTATCTCACAGTGCCTGGGACATAGCAGGCCCTTAATAAATGTTAGTTGACTTCAAGGGTTATTACATCTCTCTTCACCTACTGTTTCTGTTTTTTTTTTCTCTAAGCCCTGCTCTCTTCTTTCTCTTTCTCTCCCCCCCTCCCTTCCTCCCTCCCTCCCTCTCTCTTTCTCTGTCTCTCTCTCTCTCCTTCTCTCTCTTTCTCCTCTCTCTCTTTCTCTCTCCTCTCTCTCTCTCCCTTCTCTCTCTCCCTCCTCTTTCTCTTCCTCTATTTCTCTCCTCTCTCTTCTTCTCTCTCTTCCCTCTCTCCTTCTCTCTCTCTCTCCTTCTCTCTCCCCTCTCTCTCCTTTCTCTCTCTTCTTTTCTCTTTCTCTTCCTCTCTCTCCTTCTCTCCCCTCTCTCTCCTTTCTCTCTCTCTTCTCTCTCTCTCCTTCTCTCTCCTTCTCTCTCTCTCTCCCCTCTCTCTCCCTTTTCTCTCTCCCTTCCTCTCTTCCTCTCTCTCCTTCTCTCTCTCTTTCTCTCTTCTCTCTCCCTTCTCTCTCTCTCCTCTCTCTCTTCCTCTCTCTGTCTCTCTGTCTCTCTCTCCTTCTCTCTCTCTTCCCTCTCTCTCTCCCTTCTCTCTCTCTTCCTCTCTCTCTCCTTCTCTCTCTCTCTCTTCTTTTCTCTTTCTCTTCCTCTCTCTCTCCTTCTCTCTCTCCCCTCTCTCTCCTTTCTCTCTCCTCTCTCTCTCTGCTTCTCTCTCTCTCCTCTCTCTCTTCCTCTCTCTGTCTCTGTCTCTGTCTCTCTCTCTCTCTCTGTGTCTCTCTCTCTCTCTCCTTTCTTATTTAAGGCTATTTGGCAGACTATTTTTCCCCATCACACAATCTCCAGAATATCTAAGAAGGCTAGAACACAAGTGCCACAGCCTCAGCAGAGGGTCAAGGGGCAATATTCTGCCCATGTTTATTTGGTGGAAAGGGACAATTAGCTCCTGAAGGGCCTTCTTTTTCTTGAAAGTTTCTCTGGTGATTCGTCCCTGCAGGCCTTTGGGCCCTCCCCACTCCCTGCCCTCTGTCCTGGCTCCAGCGCTTTGGACACTCTGCTCAGCTGCCTGTCTGCTCTTTGAAGGCTGATGACAGCTCTGCTCTCCTGTGCCAGCTCAGCCTGAGGCTTGGTCCTCCACCCAGAGCCAGCCTTGCCTATCACCCTCCACCCCCCTCACCCCCTGCCCAATCAGACCTCCATCCCCCCGGCCATGTCAGGGTGCTCAGCACATTTGGAGACATCGCTAGCCCCTGAGGTTAATGTCAAAAAAGGACACTTCACATCCCCTAGTGCCCCCTGCCAGAGACAGACTCCTGGACTGGCTGGGCATGAGATGAACTGCTGGGCCATTTCTGATCTTATTATCTAGCTAAAAAAATAAACAATAAACCCAGAAAAAGCTCTCATGGACAACTATAGTCTGTTTACAGATTGATAATGGCTGACTGCCCATCCCTTCCCTGGCAAGTCATGAGAAAGATCCAGGGCCATCACACAGAGATAGTTTGAGCTCAGAAGGGGTGGGTGGGGTGGGGTGGGAGGTGAGACAAGGCTCCAATCAGCCCGTTCTCTGTTTTCTCATCGCCCCTCCACACGCTGTGTTTCAGCCAAACTGAACTCACGTTTCCCTGAATGTGCCATCTCTCATCTCCCACCTGTCCGCCATGCCTCCACCTTCATCTCTGCCTTACCTTTACCTCTTCCTATCTTCCCTCCGGGCCCAGGTCAGGCACCACCATCTCTGTGAAGCCTCCCTAGAATCTAGCCCCTCTTTCACTATGCTCCCCCTCCTCAGATCCCTTCTCACTACCTTGTCTTTGTACGTTCTGGATCCTCCCAGGAAAGTGTGAACCACATTACCTGTGGTCTGTGGTGCCATCTGTGATGTGGGATAGCTCTCTATTCCCTGTGCTTTCTTCTCACCCTATCCCCTCACATCTTCTAACTCCAAATCAGGGTCTTTCCAATGCACTCCACTGAGACCAAGATTTGGAATGAGCTTGGAGGTAATAGCGGAAAGAGCACTTGGTCTCAAGTCAATGGGCCTGAGTTCAAATCCTGCCTCTTCTGGTTACGTACTTAAGGTTTATTTCACCGTGGGTCAGTTTCCTGTAAAATGACGGGGTTAGACCGGAAGGCCTTGGAAATCCATTCCAGCTCTAACACGATTACCCTATGAATGAGAAGATCTGAATTCAAATCCCACCTCGGACACTTGCAATCTCTGCACTCTGACACTGACCATTCCCTCTGCGATCTTGGACAAGCCCCTTCCTCTGTCTGGGCCTCAGTTTCCTCATCTGTAAAAATAAGGGGGTCCTCTGGGCTCTCCTCTTCCTCTACATCTGGCCTCCTAAGACCCTGTTTCTGCCCCTCATCTTAACCTTTCAGTTTCTCCGTTTCTTCAGATCTCACGGTTAGAAAGTGTTATATAAAGATCACATGTGGGATTTGAACTCAGGTCCTCAGACTTCAAAGCCAGCCAGTGCTTTTGCCATTGCATTGTGTTCCCTCTCCTAGAAGAAAGATGGAGAACTCTGGCCAGAGAAACTAAGATGGCAGTGGGTGTGGGGAGGGGGTGGGTCTGGGTATTGGGGGTCCACTCACCACGGGCTGGTTGTAGTGTTCCAGGGACATGGTCACGACATTGAGGCAGATGATGAAGGTGATGAAGATATCCAGGTAGTGACTGGTACAGACAGAATGAATAAGGAGTCGGGTAGGGCAGTAGGTAGCATAATATGGGAGCCGCTGGGCTTCTGCAGAGGCAAAGGGAAGGGGGAGCACCCCGGACAGACATGGGGCAGGAGAGAGAGGAGGTAGGAGGCACAAGGGGGAAGGAGGGAGCAGGGGAGCCAAAGGTCAAGGGGACAGGAGGGATAGGGGAAAAAAGGGATCAAGGAAATAAAAAAAAACAGAGAAGAGAAAGGGGGAGGAGGGAGGGATCAGAAGAAGGAGTAAAAGACAGTTAGCAAATCCAGGACAATCTGTGGAGATGATCAGATCATGCCTCAATGAACTAAGACCATGAATGAGAAGACAAGCTCAGAGGAGGGACCAGAAACAGGCAGGAAATGGAGATCCCCTGTCTTGGGTGGAGGTGGGAGAGGAGAGGAAGATAATGGAAGGACCAAGCCAAATCTATCCCTTCTCCTCAACTCAGTGAAGGAAGCTGGGCTGGCCTTCCCAGTGGAGATGGGCTCTAGAGCCAAAGTCTGAAGCCTAAGTGGACATTTGGAAAGCCTGGGGCAGAAAAACTCAAGGGAAACTGGAATGTAGTTTTCCTATTCTTCAGGAAATGCCTCCCTCTCTACCTGAGGGCCAGTGGCCAGTATGTCAAGGCTTCTGTGTCTCTCCCTCTTCACTTGTGCGCAAGCAAAATTGGGCAAGGATTCTATCTAAGAGGCGAGAGGATGTTGGTAATAACCAACGCCCTTGGCGTTCCTCAACACGTCAGGCATCCCAGGTAAGACTAGATTTAGAATGGAGGGAGACCAAGATGGCATCTAAGCACAGAAGGTGTTTAATAAATGCTTGTTGAAGTTAATAGATGGGGATCACACAGGCCCATCCTGTCCTCCCCACCTCCACAGTCCAGGCCAGGGGGAGGGGCAAAATGGATGAAACTTTGGGGAATGGGGGAGGTGGGAGGAATAGAGAAGAGGAGAAGGTTTTGCTGGGAAAACCTCAGCCTACGAACCCAACGCACACTTAGGCTGGGCCTTACTCCTTCGCTTCTTCTCCAGCCGCCGGAGTCGCTTCTCCTCCCGCCGACGTGCCTCCTCTGCCTCCTGGTGCTGCCGGCACTTGTGGAAGTTCTCCACCACCACCCCCACAAACATGTTCAGGACAAAGAAGCTGACAATGAGCAGGAAGGAGATGAAATACAACAACATCCAGGGATTGTGATTGGTTACAGGCTAGAAAAAGAGAAGTTGGAAATCAGAGTTAGACCAACATCTTCTACCACATTCCACAATGACCACCAAATGGACATGTGGCTTAAATAAAAAGAGACACACCATTTTAAAAAAAGTCCAGAAAAATGGGAGAAGGCATCTTTCAGGCCTATAATCAGTGGGAAATTGTTAACCAAGATAATACAGAAATTTTGGGCTGCATAAAATGAAACTGCTTTCGTACAAACAAAATCAATGCAGCCAGGATTAAAAGGTAAGCAGTCGAGTGGGAAAAAAATCAAATATCTTGGATAAGATCCAAGATATGTAGATAATTTGCAAAAACATAAGACCAAGAACTCTTCCCCAGTAAATACACAGCTAAAAGTTATGAACTAACAGTTCATAAGAAGATGAAATGCAAATAATCAAAAACAATTTGAAAAAAAATGTTCTAAATGGAAAAAGACCACCCAGAGTGTCATAGTGACTAAGAAGCTCACTTACTGTATGTGTCCAAGGTATAAAATCTGAGAATAAAGCTCAGAACTTAAAAGAAACATTTTTCTTTCCTTTTCCAAATTTGGCTTGGTAGGGGACGTGGCAACATTATAAGGAGAAGTGGTTGCTTAGGGAGAGTAAGGTGGGCAGAGAAGCAAGATAAGGAAAAGATCGTATGTGCCAGCCAGGCTGTTCTGGTCCCTACTTCCTCTTCCCCCATATCTTGCCTCCAAACCTTCACTTACTCTGTCCCTGGGATGGCCCTGGCCTCTTTTCTACTCATCCAAATCCACAACCTGCTCAAGTCCTCCACGAAGCCTAGCCTGGCAAGCCCAGCCTACAATGAACACTCTCCAACAAGAGCAACTAGGAAAGTGTTGTGGGAGGTCAGGAGAGTACTGGTTCTCAGCTCCAAACATCCAACAGCCTCGGTTTCCCTTAATGGCTACTTTCATACTGTCCTTGGGAGTCTACCCAGCCCTTTCTTGAACCCAATTGGGCTTTTTACCTATCTCCCACCTTTTAGGGTCAGAATTAATCAACCAACAAGGATTTATTAAGTATAATAAATTAAGCATAAATATTAAGGATTTATTATTCTCTGCGCCTGGAACTGGGCTAGGAGCTGGGGAATACAATGACAAAAGTTAGGTAGTCTTTGCCCTCAGGAAGCTTCCATTCTATTGGGGAGGACAATGTGTACACACATAAATGTGAGATAATTGGGAACAAGGGAGACCCTAGCTGTGTAGTAGAGGTCAGGAAGGGTCTCATGTGGAAGGTGATACTTCAGATGAGTTCTGAAGGAAATTAGGAATTCTAAGAGGTAGAAGAGGGAGTGCACTGTAGACGTGGGGAGGGGCAACTGGTACAAAGGCACCGAAAGAGGAAATGGAAGAATCCACTGCTCAGGTTCACCTATGGGGTACCAGGGGTAGGGGAGATGCATGGTCATGGGGAGAGAGAGAGACCTTGGCATCAGGTGCCTGGTCATGACAGAGGCTCATTGGTATCCTGAGATCAGCAGGGAGGAGAAAGTTTTATTTACATACATACACACACACACACATGCCTACACACATACTCTCTCTCTCCCTCTCTCTCTCTCTCTATATATATATATTATATATACATACACATACATTACACATACATATATATACATACACACACATGCCTACACACATACTCTCTCTCTCTATATATATATCTATTATATATACATACACATATATTACATGTACATATATATACATACACACACATATATATACACATACACACATATACATACATATATATAATATTGTATAATTATACCAGGAAGTGCAGCCCCCATCCCACCCTACCTGCCAACCCCCACCCTAAGAGATGGCCAGAAACCCTGACCAAACCTTTCCTCTCCCTTCCCAAACAGGAAACACTCTGCTGAGTGGCATGGAGTGTAAAGAGCACTCAATCTTGAGTAAAAGGATCTTGGTCAAAGTAGTGACTCTGCTATTCGCTACCTTAATGACCTTGGGCAAGTCATTTCCCCTCTCTGAGCCTCAGTTTCCTCATCTGTAAAATGAAGTGGGTTGGACTAGTTGGTGTCTAAGGTCCCTTCCAGCTCTGGATCTGTGATAGTAAGCAGTAAATAGTAGAAGTGTAGAAGGCCAATGCTCACAATGAGCTGAGGCTGGGGATGAATGCTAAGAGCAATAAAAATCTAGGCTGGGTGCGAAGGATGCAATGATACAATCACATAGAGAGAGCATTGTTATAGCACTTTACAAATGTCATCTGATCCTTACATCACCTCTGGGAGGTAGGCGTTATTGTCACTCCCATTTGACAGATGGGGAAGCTCAGGCAGGCAGAAGCTCAGTGACTTGCCCAGGATTACACAGTTACCTGAGGCCAGGTTTGGATGCAGATCTTCCTGACTCCAAGCCCAGCGCTCTGCCCACTGCACCACCCAGCTTCCTCTACTCTAGATGCTGACAAAAGACAACAGAAGGAAGGCAGAACTACTCAACTCTTCTGCTTCTTGTTTGTTTGTTTGTTAACCAAGGAGAACAATGTTTGGACTAAGAAGTCATGAAATGGTTAATGGGGAATTGAAGCCCAGATGACAAGGCAGACTGCATCCCAGGATGCCACACTGGTGCGTGTGAATGCTGAGATGATATTGGGGGTCTCTGGAAAAATCACAGAAGACAAGACAGAAAGCATAGGACTAGAAAAAGAAAAATGCCCTGAATTTTCAAAGGGGAAGAAAGCAGATTTTCCAAACCATAGGATGATGAGCTTGACTTCAATTTCTGGCAGAATCTAGTGCATATTCTTAAAAAGGATGAATTGAGAATACAGACAGTTCTCACTTTACGTAAATTCACATTATGCTAAATTTAACTTCAAAGAATTCTGGAAGAAATCTCATTAAAAAACCACCTATTTACCTATAAACTTTATTGTACAGTACTGTGCACACTTTCTCTGTCTCTTTCTCTCTCTCCTCTTGTCCCCACGTTAGGTGGTCTGAGGCCTCACTCCAAAAAAAAACCCTCCATGTGAAAGCAGAACAGATGCATGGAACGACCCCCTACGCTGCCACCACTGAATTGGGAGCTTGGCTTGAGACCTCCAGAGCCCAGAGAGGAGACCTTTGCTCACCCCACCAACCCCTGGATCCAGCCCCGAGTATCTCATCCATCTGCACTCGAGCCCCACATGTCTGTTCCCAGCCCCTGCATTCACCTATCCTCTACTGTATGTGTCCATGTCCAGCCCCCCCGCCAAAGGGTCTGGTTGGGGGGTGCCATTGAATGACAGACTAGAAAATGGGCCCAGTCCAATCAGATGGAATATATTTGAGACAAGTTTGAAATCTCACATACGACTAATTTGGGTTCAAAAAATCATCTACATAAATACAGGATGACTGAACAGACATGGCTGGACAACAGGTCACATTTTTTAAGTCCTAAGGGTGTGTGCTTTGTAATTTTTAAGCTCAGCATGAGTTAATAGTATGATATTGGTAGCTAAAATATTTCCATGGGATCTTGGGTAGGGTGGAAAGAAATGAATAAGCATTTCTAAGCACCTACTATGTGCTAAGCACTTTAAACATACCATCTCATTTAATCCTCACAACAACTCCCGGAAGGTATGTGCTGTTATTTTTTTCACAGTTATGTTGAAACTAAGGCAGGTAGGGGTTAAGTGACTTTCCCAGGGTCATACAGCTAGTGAGTGTCTGAGGCTGGATTTGAACTCAGATTTTCCTAACTCTAGGCCCAGGGTCTCCATCAAGCTGCATTTCCAGAAGCAGATTATAGTCCCCATCTCCTGGGTAAGACCCTATCAGGGCCCCACTGATAAACCAGCACGCCCACAGAAGCCTGGAGACCACGTCCCATGAGGAGGACTTGAAGGAACAGCGGAGGTTTAGCTTGGAAAAGAAAAGCCATGATATCTGTGTCCAAATATTTAAGAGGGTGTCAGGTGGAAGAGCCATTAACTTTATCCAGCTTGGCCCCAGAAAGCAGAACCAAGAGCAGACAAGGAAGCGAGCGGCAAAGTGGTGGATTTTGGCTTGATGTAAGGTGGAAAGTGCATGGCCTCTGATGTCAAAGGACAGGTTCATATCCCATCTCTGATGTTCACTATCACTGTGACGCCGGAATAGTCACTTGGCCCTCCTGGGTCTCAGTTTACTCACCTGTAAAAAGAGGGGTTGGATTTGATAGCCTTAAAGTCCTCTTCTAAGTCTATCTGGCTTACTGATCTCTTTGTATCATAACCTGTCCTACAAGGAAACACCTCTTAACAAAGAGAACTGTCCAAGGTCCTGGAGGTTATAGTTTCCCTGTCAACGGAGGTTTTCAAATGGAGGCTGGATGACCATCTGCTGAACATATTGTGGAAGAGGCTCCACCTCCTCAGAGGTGGGTTGGGCTAGAGACCTCCAAATCAGAGATTCTATAAGATGTGGTATTGGAGTTCAAAGGAATGGGGAAGAGAGAGTTGGGGGACTGATATGAATGGTGGGAGAAGGGCCCAAGATCTCTAAGGTTCCATCTGGCTTTAACTAATGTTCTGGAAATGTTGGAGATCAGGAGTTCCTAGACAGGGAGAGAAATGCCAACACTGAAATGGCAGAGGGGAGATGGCAGGCTATCTCAGGAAGAACGATGTCTCAGTGGTCCATGCACACAACAGCCCAAAGCTCGGAGAGGCTGGGGGAACTCTGGAGCCATGGATTCTGGGGAAAAGGCTGGCCCTACAAGCAGCAGATGTGGGCTGGCATTCTGGCCAGTTTCGCTAGAAGGCCATCTCCCATTTCTTATTAAAGTGGAGGCGGGATGTTGCAAACCAACAGCCAGCTACCCTTCCAAGGGACCTGACTCATGGGTGGAAAGGAATCTGCAATGTGCCACGCCAGCTTGGTACTGGAACGCCCACCACCAGGACGGGGGTGGAGAAAGCCAGAAAAAGGCGAACAGGACCAAGGCCAGTTCGCCCCTTGCTGCTATCACCAGTCAAAAATTGGGCATTCTGGGCAACAAGGGAGTGGGTGAAATGACGGAGGACATGGGGTGAGGCTGGGGGCTGAGGCAAGGCTTGGAAAGAGCTGATAAAGCAATGTAATCCTTGAGGCTGATTTTCCTCTGTGCATTTATATCCCTTTATGGAGAGTGATGTGTCTGAGCCCTGAGGCCAAGGGAAGTGGGTGTGTTTTTATAAACTGAAATGTAATAACTTGCCATTCTACCTTGGTATTTATCTCACATCCTTTCTCCCTGGAGAACTTTCTCCCAGTAGCAGCTCATCCCTTTCTTTCTGTGACTGGAGGAGGATGGGAGTGAGAGCTGTGACCTCCATTTGCCTGAGAAGGGGAGGAGGATGGTGCTGAGGGGAAGGGAGGATGCCTGGGGCAAGTCTGGGGCCAGATAAAGGGCTGAGAGTCTAAGGCGTGCTCAGGCACAGGGCTAGGGGACAAAGTACCTTCTTAGACCTGATCCTCACCTGTGACTGCAGTCAGGGAGGCAGGCGGGTGAGCTGAGGGAACAAGAAGGGAGCCAATACTGCCAACAACCCCAAGGCATCAGCCTCTCTCATTCTGAAACCACTGGGAAAAGTAATGCGAAGCCGGGCTTCTAGGCTGCTGTTCTCAAATTGGCCCTTGTCCAGTTTATGGAGCTGAGCATATTGACAGGAGGGAGGAGGAGAGAGCCAGGCGATACCTCTCTAGGGCAGAACAGTCTATCTCTGTGGTTTGGTTAAGGGGGCAGCTCTTCTTGGATATCTGTGGTTCCCCTGGTTTGGGTCCCTGGGAAAATCTTTGCACTGACTATGCGGTGAGCTGAGAGAGTCTTAAGCACAGAAAACACCAAAGAACTGGGCGGCGATCAATCTCTGTCAGGAGATGGGTTCCAGCCATATCTCTGAATCCTTCCCTATTGTCTTGGGTGAAGCTGTGTTAGAGGGCGAAGGTCCTGGCAACCTGTGGTCATGGAATACTCCATCACCCCCTTCCCTTTTGAAAGAAATTAGTGGTGAAGAGGGTAGATTAGAGCGGGGCTGAGCACAAGCAAAACTGTGACCCTTATCTTCAGTACTGGCCCCTTTAGACATCTGTTGCTGGTGTATCCCAACTCTAGGTTGACTCTTCTTGGGCCAACGCTCTTATGAGACCTCCAGACCTGCAGGGCATGGCCCTTTATCCAAGACACTAAAAATTATCATCTTATATCCCCTTACTCTGTCTTCCAAGATATCCAAGGGGACAACCAGCTCACTTGTGTCAATGATCTGTGCTCATGGGAAAGGGCAAAGGAAGAAGGGAGATCATCTACTAAGGGGTACCTCCTTCTCCCTCTTAGATAATATCTGTGTAGCCTACAAGTGGTTTCTGACCTATCTAATGACCTATCTAATCCAAAAGAGAGGGGAGAAGCATTGTGACAAGTTCATAGGAAAGCTATCTGGGGAAAGAAGGGGCTTTGGGATCTCCTCCCATCATGCTAAGTAGGTTGCCCTTTATTACATCAATGGACAGGGCTATTCCATATTTGTCAAGACTCTCCTTTCCATTTCTTATGTAACAATTAAGTCAGATTTCTATCCATCTGTCTTCTTCATTCTGTCCCCTGCCTTCTCTGTGCCTTTTAAGGCTCATGCCATCCAGGTGCCACATCTGGAATGGACTTCCTTCACCCCCATTTATTGAACTCCAAGCCCTGATTCTGATTTCACCTCCTCCATGAAGCCTTCCCCGATCAAGTAACAGCAATTGCTTCACGTTTGCATTTCTCCTAGTCCTTTGCTGGGTTTCCCTTTGCAGGCATCTTACTCTTCCTTGTATCATAGTTGTTTGAAGGGCAATGTGGTACAGTAGGGAAGCATTGGAATTGAGGTCAAAAGACCTGGATTGTTTGAGGTCTGGTTCCAGTACTTAATAGCTGTGTGGCCATAGGCAAATGACCTAATCTCTCTGAATCCAATGACCTTGTCTTTGAAATAGGACTAATGATTCTTGTATTACCATTATGGCTGTTCTGATGAAAACATTTTATAAGTCAATAAATGCTCTAGAACTTTGAGGTATTTACTGTATCATCATTACCTGTTGCCCCCTTCCATCCATCATTAGCCAAAATGATAACTAGGATGGAGTAATCAGCACTTACCCGAGGGTGCTGACATTTAAGAGGGCAGGCTTCTTGCCCCATTGAGAAGGACCTCATACCTCCAGACTGCACCAAAGCCTCCCTGGATATAAAATGTGTCTGCCTCCACCTTCCCGCCTGGGACTTGAGCCACCAGTCCTGACCATGCCCTTCTCCTGGGACCCCATGTCCAATTTGCCACACATCACTGTTAGGATGTTCTGGCTTTACCCTGGGTCAGAAGGAGACAACCACTATAGTCCCTTCTCCCACTCCTTTCCCCTCCCTCACCCCATTTGTCTCCTGGCCCGACCCCCAGCCTCATCCTGGAGGATCATCCAGTGTATGAGAGGCCACAGTCCAGATTCTTTGGGGGATGGGCATGTCCTTCTCCAGCATGACCATACCTGTTTGGCATAGGCTACATGAGGTAGTGGTTCACATGAAGCCACCCATGGTAACAGCAAAGGTGAAGCTTGGAGCCCAGCAACCTAAGGGAGTGTCCCAGAGCCTTGGTGCAGGCCAGGGGAGCCAAAGAGAACTCCGGTCCGAATGGGTCTGCTCCGCTTTCTTCCTTAGCAGCACAACCTCCCCCGCAGCTGTCTGGCTCCCATTCATCCCCCACCCCACCCCCAGCTCCCCCAGGTGCCGCGATCACTAGTTGTGGTTCTGCCACCAGTGTAGAAGCCCACTGAGGGCAAAGACAATCTCCTACCCAGCTCATTATTCCCCACGCTGAAGACAAGGTTTGGGTTAGACCGGGTTGGGTTTTCTGTTTGTTTGTGTGTGTGTGTGTGTGGGAGCATCTAATAAACACTGGTTGACTTGAATGTCAAAAACACAGCTCACCTCCTTGTCCTCCTGCTTACCCCACCCCTCCTCCTTCTTACCCTTCACCTCCAAGCTTCACGGCAGGGGAGACACACTACCTGCTGGTCAACAGCCACCGCATCCAGCCCGTTGTACATGATGTTGACCCAGCCATCTTTGGAGGCCAAGACGAAGAGGGACATCAAGGCCTGGAACAAAGGGAGAGAGGACCGCAGGTCTAGATTTAGGAGGGCCCACACGAACCACTGCGTCCAACCTCCTCCACTTTACAGATGAGGAAACTGAGGCCCAGGGTGGTTAAGTGACTTTCCCAAGGTCACCCAGGTTGTAGAGCCAGAAAGGGACCCCAAAGGCCATCCAGTCCAACCTCCTCCATTTTACAGATGAGGAAACTGAGGCCCAGGGTGGTTAAGTGATTTTCCCAAGGTCACCCAGGTTGAATGGTAAGTGTAGAGCCAGAAAGGGACCCCAAAGGCCATCCAGTCCAATCTCCTCCGTTTTACAGATGAGGAAACTGAGGCCCCAAAAGGTTAACCTACTTACCCTGGATCACGTATAGGTAAGATCAAGGGTCTAGAACCAGAAGGGACCTTAGAGGCCAAGTAGTTCAAACCCTAAGCAAGGCTCAAGAAGTAAAGCGACTTGTCCAGCATCGCCCAGCTTGTTAGAGGAAGACTTGGAGCGAGCACCCAACTCTGATTCCCCAATCGCTCGCTCTCTGCCCTGCTCTGCCTCCAAACCGGACAGGTCCAGCCACTCGGGGCGAGAATGCCGGCCCAGCCCTGCTCCTGATTCCTCGGACGTGTCCACTGTTCTCCAGCAGTCCTGCACCTTGCACCTCCCTCTCCCCCAGGGCCCCTCCTCTGAGGCGTGGTATCCTTCTAAGGACCTGCCCTTGAGGAAAGGCCCAAGTCAGTGGGCGCTCACCCTCCTCTCCTGGCTCTTGTCCTGATTCTCAGTGTTTCTCTAACTCGCCCCCTTTGGGGATCTCCTACCTACCCCTCCCCTCATCTTCAGCTCCCTCTTAAGTGTTATCCCATTAGACTCCTTGAGTAAGGGAATGACTTTCTTTTTGCTTATCTTCTATTCCCAGAACTTAGTATATTGCCTGGCACATAGTAAGTGTTTAATTAATGATCTGTCTGTGTCTAACTATTCATCTATTTACCTATCTATCTACTTATCTGTCTATCTACTTATCTACCTAGGTATCTATTTACCCATCTACTTATCTATTTGTCTAACTCTCTATCTATCTAGGTATCTATTTATTTACCTATTTATATCTATGTGTCTATTTGTCTATCTATTTTATCTATTCTATCTATCTATCTACTTATCTACCTAGGTATCTATTTATCTATCTACTCATCTAACTATCTAGCTATTTGTCTATCTAGGTATCTATTTATTTAACTATCTACTTATCTATCTATGTGTCTGTCTATCTACCTAGGTATCTGTTTATCTGTCTTATCTATTTGTCTGTCTGTCTATCTATTTATCCAAGTATCTATTTATTTATCTACATATCTATCTATGTGTCTATCTGTCTGTCTACTTATCTATCTACCTATGTATGTATCTATTTTTCTACCTATCTCCCTATGTATGTAAGTATGTATCTATGTATTTAGCATGACATAGTTCTAGGTACCACAGCCTTCTTTGAAAACGAGGGTTCCAGAGCACCAGCCTGTCCTCCGTAGGCTGTGCTGCCCAAGGTCCATCCTGCCCTGGACTGAGTCACTGGGCCTGAGCAAGCTGGAGTCCGCACAGCAGGGTGGGCAGGGCGGCTGAGATGTAGGGACGCTCCAAGGCAGCCGCTGTAAAGGCCACCAGCCTCTTCCAAGCTGTAGAACATGCAAGCTTAGAGGAAGGTGTTTGCTGCTCGTGTTTGAGATTAATCCCCTACCAGGGCTTGTGGGGAAGCTTATAGTGCTGGAAGAAGAGAAGAGCCAGGTGGCTGTGGGCCTGGGGTATTCCTGGGTGTCTCTCCAAGTGTGCCTGTGGGTGTGCTCCTCCTGTGCTGTGTTTTCCAGGAAAGTCTTATGTGCTGGGCCAGGCTGCCGATCCACCCTGGAGCTGAGGCGCTAACACCAAAGGAACTGGGAGTGCTGAGTCTGTAGTGAGGGTAACCACAGCCATCCACCTGACACTCCCTCCTCCCGAGGGCATGTTAGCATCAGGGGTCACGAGAACCTGACAGCCAGAGGCCATGGGACCCTGACGTTCAGAGACAGCACGTCCCTGAGAGCTAGAGGTCAGGAGACCCTTGAAGACAGAGGTCATAGGACCCTCACATTTAGAGGTCATAGGCCCCTGCCAGAGGCAGCAAGTCTCCAATGGGCTCTGTCAGTCAGAGACTGCCCTTTAAAGTGGGACAAAACATGGGGCCAAATATGCTTTCTTAGTTCATCAAATAGTAAGAGAGAAAAGAGGCTGGGATCTGCCTTCTGAACTTCTGTGGAGTACAGACAGGGGTCCTTGGGATGAGTGATTTTGACCTTGGAGGGCACGATCACTCATTCTGTCATCTCCAGCCCCGGGGCTACTCGGCTAAATGAACATGGTGCTCTGCAAAGCTCTCCCCCGTTCACCATGCTCAGTCACCATGCCTTCCTCCAGAGTCAGGGCAGGGGGACTCAGTCACAGCCACTGACATTCCGTTCATCCCTGACCGCGGTTTCCCAGCAATCTTCAAGAGTGTGGTCCCCAAGGGTAAGATGAGAACATTAATAACAGTGGGGTTCAGGAATGGCATCACAGAGGAGGAGGAATCTGAGCTAAATTTTGAAAGAAGACAGATTTCAAGACTCGGAGGTGAGGGGGAAGGGCATTCCAGACACGGGCAACAGCTTGAGCAAAGGCATGGTGGTTGGAGATGTGAGCGAGAAGTAGAAGGTAGGACAGTTTGGTTGAGATATCGAGCATGCAGGACTCTACAGGTGTGCGAGAGGGAGTGCCATGAAATCAGTCTGGAAAGGGGGTGGGTACCAAATTGTGGAGAGCTTTTGATGCCAGGCTGAGGATTTCCCATTTTATGCTAGAGACAATAGGGAGCTAGTGAAGATTCTAGAGCTGGATAGTTACACGGTCAGATCTATATAAGAGGAAGTTTGGCATCTGCAGATGGAATGGAGAAGGGAGACACTAGGAGCAGAGTGAACAGGTAGAAGACTGATGCTATAACAGTCCAGGTGAGAATGAGTCCAAGCAAGAGTGCTGTGAGCCTGAGCGGAGAAAAGGGATGGGATCTCACAGCTCATGGTATCTGGAAAGCACTTTCTGCTCTTCCAAGAAGGTCCTCCTTTAGCGCTCATTTTGAGGTAGATAGGATACCCCATTATAGGTTTTTCCCAGATAGGGAAACTGAGGCTTACTAGACCCCAATCTCCCCAAAGGCAAAGATAATGCCTTATTTATCCTACGCTAGTGCTCTAAACATCATCACATTTATTGAATGAATATTGAGTGGAGCCCAGACGTTAAAGTGATTTATCCAAGGTCACAGGATCTCAGGGCTAATCCAGCCTGAGCAGGAACCTCCCTGACATCCAACAAAGTACAATCTGGCATCTGCTTAAAGATGCCCACTGAGGGGAAGCCTGCTCACTCCCTAGAGCTCCCGTCTCACTTCTGGACAGCTCTGATCGTGGGAAGGTTTTCCTCGTGTCCATGATAAAGCTGTTTCTCTTCAAACTGCACCTCCTGCCCCCAGTACCACCATTGCTTCTAATTCTGCCTTCTGGGAATGCAGCCTTATCCCCCTCTCACATGACAGACTCTCAGAGCCTCGAACACAGTGCTCATTGCCCCCTGAGCCTTCCCGGCCCCTTCTGCCGATCCTCGGATGGCCTGGTTTCCAGTCGTCTCCCCCCGTGTGGTGGTGGAGTGAGGGCTGATCCCTGCGTCTCCCCCTCCCCCTGGGGCTGCTCACCTGGCCCAGGTTGTCAAAGTTGTACTTGTGGTGCACCCAGCGGTAGTTGGCGGCCACGCAGTCAGAGCGGTTGGTGATGTTCCGTATGTCAACCCCGAGGCAATGGTAAAACTTCCCCTTGAAGAGCTGAGGGGGAATGACCAGAGGATCAGAGACAGAGCAGCAGCCCACCCTGGAAATCTGAAAAAGGACTTGCCCAAGGTCATACAGGTGGTGCCTGACAGAGGCCCAGGTCCTCCGACTCCAAATATCCACATATTGGGATGGGGTGGGAAGAGAAGATGACAAAGTGAGACAGTGTGGGGTGGTGGAAAGAGCCTTGGGCTGAAGCAAGAGGCCTGAGTTCAAATTCTGGCCTTGCCAATTACTAGCTGTGTGACCTGGGGCAAGCCTCCTAACCTCTCTGGGCCTTGATTTCCTCATCTATGAAATGTTGGACCAGGAAACTTCAGCCCTAGCAGCACAGAACAATCATAAGATCATGGATTTAGAGGTGGACAGGACCTCAGAGGCTGATCCCACCCCCTCATTTTACACATGAGGAAACTGAGGCAAGCAGAGGTTAGGTGACGAGCCCCAGGCCACGCAGCTAGTAAGTGTCTGAGGCTGGATTTGAACTCAGGTCCTCCTGGCTGCAGCTCCACTGTGCTGTCCACTGAGCTATCTTGCTTCCTCTGGGGTTTCTCTACAGATTCCCCAGAGTCTGGGGAGGTCCAAGGTAAGCTCTGAGGGACAAAGTGAAGGAGGGAGTGAAAAGGGAAGATCCAGAGAAACCCAGGGACGTCAGACACTGGGCTTCAAAGCTGCAGATCTCTGGGGCGAGAACTCTGACTCTAGTATCCTCGACAGGGAAAATATGGCGAGAAGAGGAAGGGGAAGGTTTGAAGCCTGGGTGCCTGGGGCCTGCATGGGTCGCTGCATACTTGAGTGGAGAGAAAACAATTTCTCCTCCAGAAAAACCGCAAACAGGCACGAAGCAGCCGCCTTCCCAGTCCCTTCCTCGGCGGCCAATGGCCTGCCCAGCGGCACCCGCTCCACGAGTAGTGGATGGGCGGGCACGTGGGCCCCAGGATCCGTGCTACGGCCTATCTATAGCTCACTCTGTGAGAGGCAAGAAACACCCACTCTCTGTGTTCTTCTGCGGCAGAATCCCAAAATAAAGAGCCAGCAGAAGGAAAAAAATATCATTGTGGGTGGACTTGGGCTTGTGAAGCAGGGCTGGTTGCGCCACAGAGGATCCAGCCTCAGCATAGGACCCTTCCCCCCAGGCTGTCCAGACCCTGCCACCCTGGCCTGGGGCCTCTCTCATCGATGGTGCTCGCCCTGAGTGGGGTTAGTAGGGTCCTCGGGATGGCCAGGGCGTCCCCTGCCTCCTCTCTTTTCTCCGCCAGTTACCACTTGGAACACTGCGCCTGTGACCTCCCACCTATTCCTAGAATCCCCAAATGTCCGGTCTGGAAGGGCTACCATGGGTCATCTCATCCCAGCCCAATCTGAGCAGGAATTCATTACGAAAAGTGACATGGTACCATCAAAAGGGTCATGAGGACCGGGATTCGAAGCCAGTTACTGACTGAGTGAGCTTAGGCAGGACAATCTCCCTGGGCCTCAGTTTCCTCCTCTGTAAAATGGGGGAATTAGACCTAGATGACCTTTAACGTCCCTTCTACTTCTAAATCTATGATTCAGGCTAAATGTTTAATGTTTAATCCATCAGGATGTATTTATTAAGTACCTACTGTGTATGGGAATCTGTGTTGGGCACTGGTGGCCACAAAGAAAAAATATGACCAGTTCCTGCCTTCCAAGAGCCTCCATTCATCTCCAATAAAAAGGCCCAGAATGTTGGAGCTGGAGGGAACCTTGGAGGAGGAGGTGTCCCAGCCCTGCTCCTGTTGAACCTACATGAACCATAATCCCCCCCCATTTCATAACTATTAATATTATAGCTATAAACCCCACGCAATTCTCAAAAATGATGAGTCGCAGAGAAGTTGCCAACCTGCCCTGGGAGAGGGTTTCCCTCATCCCTACAGGTGTGAAAAAGTCTCTGTCCCTAGTCCTGATCCCGTAAGCCCTGTAGGGTACCATGAGGCAATTTAACAGGGTAAATGAGAAACCGAACCCATTAAATTACACTGCCTAGGACACAGTATCGATCAAACAATTAATGAGCATTAATTAAGGGCATGGATTTCCACCCTACCCCATAGTCCAGGGGCAATGACATCTGTCTAGGAGGCAGGGAAGGGTGGGGTTTGCCCAGGCCTAGGAGGTTGGGCAGTAGTTCAGCCCTCCAGGATGAGGTGACCGGCCAGGAAGTGACAGGGCAGGACCCAAGCTCGGGTCTTCTCGCCCTAAGTCCAGGGCTCAATGTCACTTGACCATGGGTCCTGTCTCCTCCATCAAATTGGAGGCTCCCAGAGGAGGGGCTCAGGAAGCATGACTGTGTTCCAGGGACCACGGCAAAGGCAAAAAGGAAATGGTCTGTGCCCTCAAGGAGCTGGAGACTGGCCAGTGGCTTCTCACCTCGGCATTCAAGGCTCTTGACAGCCTGGCCCCACCCTCCCTGTCCACTTGGCTTCCCATTATTTCTCTGTGCTCCAGTGGGGCTGGGCTCCGAGCCTTCCTTGGGCAGCTCTCCTGTCGAAGGCCTCCGGCCCTTCGTCCCTGTATACAGGTGCCTCCCTGTCCTTGCAGCCCAGCATGGAGAACACCACCATCTCTGCCCAGTCCCCTCTACCCCACTTCTGAGGACTGAGCAGACTCTTCTGGAAACATCATCTCCACCTCTTCTCCACTGAAAACCGGGCTCTGCTCCTGGAACCAGTCTGGGCTTCCATGGGCCAGTTTTGACCCCATCCCACCTGGCTGCAGGCCTCCCTGGTGCTCTCCAGCCATCTCCTCCACCCTGACACCAGCGCCAGTCTGCCCCCTCAGCACCCTGCTTTCCATCTCTCATTCATTTGGTGCGTCCTCCATTAAAACCTAAGCCTCTTGAGAGCAGGAACTTGCTTGATTGTGTATGTATCTTCAGTACTTAGCACAGTACTGCCCCATAATAAGCACTTACAAAATTCTCCCTCTCCCTCCCTTCTTTCTCTTCTTCCTCTCTCTCTCTCTCTCTCTCTCCCCCCTCCCTCCCTCTTCCTTCCTCTCCTCTCTCTCTCTTCTCCTTGAAGTCTTCCCTCCTCCTCACCCAGCAGGCAATGATTCCTCCCTCGTGAGATTTCATAGCCCTGTGCACTCTTCCCATGTACTTAAAGATAGAATGTAAGCTCCGTGAGGGCAGGAATGGTGTCATTTTTGTCTTTTCAGCTCCAATGCCTAGCACAGTGCCTGGCACACAGTAGGCTCTTTTAAAATGCTTATAAATTAACTGATTAGTTGATCTCATTCTAAGATGGTATCCCAGATTTTATTTCCTCTTGGCCCACCCTTTTCACAGGTACTGAGCCCCAAGGCATGAGAATACCAGTATTTTTTAAAGATTACAAGATTTGTAGTCAGAGGACCTAAATTTAAATCATGCCTGTGTGGCAAACCAGCCCACGTCCCTGAGCCTCAGCGTCAGCTGTAAAATGATTAGATCAGGTTAGGCCTCTCAGGTCTCCCCCATCTGCTATCACCCAGTGGTGCACAGCCAGCCCCCTATGTACTGCAGCCACTCACCTGCACTCCCAGGATGCCGAAGATGATGAAGAAGGCGCAGCAGATGAGGACAATGTTTCCAATGGGTTTGAGGGATGAGATCAGCGTCTCCACCACGAGCTTCAGCCCTGGGGCACGGCTGATGACCCTGCAGTTGTGTGTCAAGATGGGGGCAGCTAAGAATGGGGGAAGGCTCTCCCTGGAGTTTACCCAGCCCACCCTCATGGCATAGAGTCACAGGTGTAGACCAGATTTTATAAATGAAGAAACTGAGGCTGAAGGAGGCCAGGCACCTGCTGGTACCTTGTACTAACTAGATTTGGCACCGGGGGCTCCCTGGGAATGGCTGGTGGGGCAGGAAGTAGAGGACACGAGAGGGTGACCAAGGGTTTCCTCACCTGAGCGGGCGAAGGGTCCGGAGGAGGCGGAGGACCCGGAGGACCCCAAGGATGGTGGCTCCTCCTGCAGAGGCCACAGAGACCACGATGTCAACGAGGGACACGAAGACCAGGAAACCATCTAAGATGTTCCAGCTGCTCCGGAGGTAGGCCTGCTCCCCAAAATACAGGCCCAGGGAGACCACCTGGCAAAGGCATGAAGGGACACAGCGACAAAGGCAGGGACGTCACAGAACCTCACAACTCTAAGGGCCCTCAGAGGGCATCTGCTCCAACCCATGACCCAACACGAATTATCCCCTGGATCATTAGGAGCTGTCCAGCATTTGCATGAAGACCACAGTGATGGCGATAGAGAGTTCACTGCTTCTGGAGGCAGCCCCTTCCACCTTGGGGCAGCTCCCATCATGGGGCATCATTCCTTAACTCAAGCCTGAAATAGTCTCTTTGTGACTTCCCCACAGGGCTCCCGGTTCTGCCCTCAGGGACCAGGCACCTCTTCACATGATAAGTCTTTACATACTTGTGGAGAGCCATCACACCCCCTGACTTTTCGCTTCTCCAGGCTGGACACCCCTGGAGGTCAGAAATCTGGGATTCAGAAGCCCTCTGCTCCTTCCTTCCTCACATGCTGTGAGCACAAGTCTCCGGTACAAAGAATCCTAAGCACTTTCTGAACTCCCATCCTGATCTACCTGAGGGAAATAATGGCAAAAGTAATAACAGCTGGCTTTTCTATAGGGCAAAGCACTTTACATTTGATCCCAATAATAATCCTGGGAGGTAGGTGCTATTACTATCCCAGTTTTATAGATGAGAAAATGGAGGCCTAGAGAGATTAAGTGACTTGCCCAGGGTGACACAGCTAGGAAGAATCTGATACAAGATCTGAACTCAGATCTTCCTAGTACCTTATCTACTGTACCACCTAGCTGCTTCCTCAGGAGGTGGGGAGCAATAATTATTAGCCCTGTTACCCATATGGGGAAGTTGATGCATAGGGCATTGAGTAGAAGCTAGGTATCCTAGTGTTTATGTGTGATGGTCCTGGGTGCCTAGGACTGAGGCACACAAAAGATGAATGAGGAACAATTCAGTATCTGTTGTTAAGGACACAGTTGTTGTTTATCTTGTTACATAGAACCCTTCCTTCCCGCCCTCTGCACATTCTGTGCCCAAGATTTTGACATCTCAGAGCATGCCCTGGTGGACAAGACTTTTCTCCAGGGAAACCCAAACACCCACACAGGAAAACATCCTAGCTACCAGACACCCTGGAGACGCCCTACTCTGCCCCAGCATCATTTCATCTGCCCTGTCTTCTCCCTTCTCCCCAGTCACCTGATTCAGACCCCACAACATAAAGGCCAGTTTAAGGAACACCAGCCCAGAGATCCAGACTAGCCTTGACGGTACATGCTGCAGGCAAAGCCTTCAGAGACATGACAGTGCTCTCATTAGGACCATGGACAGCAGCTTCTGCCTACCTGCTCTGCAAGCCAAATGTCCCTCTACCTTGATGATGCTAACACTAGGCCAGCCCCTTTACCACTATATAACAATGTGGCTCTGGCTCTGCCTCTGTCTAGATGGAACACCCCCTGGTTCCAAGGGCAACTTCTATGCCATGGGGGAGCTGAGGAACCAGAGGAGATGACAGAGACACAGCTAATGTAATTTGGGGGTAGGGGAGAATCCTGTTCCCAAATACCTCTCACCCCTGTTTTATATGCTTACCACATCTTTCAGTAGAGTGGGGGACAGGAGGGAACCTTTTATTTTGTTCTTTGGAGCAAAGGCTTAAAATTCAAATGTCCCCGACATTGGAAACCCAGTGGCTGAAATTCGTACTAAGGTGCAAATGACTGATGCTAGATCCTTTGCTGAGAACAAGGTGGGATGTACAGATGAGGGAGGGAACACAAGGGTAGCAGTTTATCCATGGGCACAGAAAGAGGGTCAAGAAATAAACCAGCTTAGGGAAGAGCCATTCCTAGGTGACAGAATGCTTGGACTGTGCAACCTACCTTTAGTGTCATCTCTCCAACAAAGATGGCGGTGAAGATGTAGTTGGACACAGTGAGGAATATCCGCTCCTGGGAAGAGAAAAGGGGATAAAACTGGGCCCAGGGAGGGCCTCCGAGCTCTCTTCTTTCCCTGTTCTCATCCTTGTGATAATCCCATCATTCTTTCCAACATGCCATGCTAATATTCTCCTCGCTCTACCGTACCACTCCAACTTCATTATCCCCTTTGTCTGTCCTGGATGGATCTCAGGCCATCTTCATCCCACACTGTAGCCCAGGGTCCCTTCACAAGCCCCATCTCCATTCCCTGTTAGGGCGTGGGAGAGGGTGTTAGCATAAGCTGGGCCTGAGTTCAATTGCTCTTGATAGGAAATCATAAGATCCTAGGTCTCAGGCTGGAGAGGACCTCAGACATCATCAAGTACAAGCCCCTCATTTGACAGAGGAGGAAACTGAGGCCAAGAATGGTGACGCATCTTGCTCAAGGTCACATAGGGAGGAAGGAGCAGAGGTGGGATTTCTGACTCCAAAGTGAGTGCTTTCTACTTTACCCCACCATACATGGTCACCTCACATAGTTACAAAGCAGCAGAGCCAGGGTCTAAGTCCAGATTTCCTGACCCCAGATGCTGTGCTTTTTTCCTGGAAGGGCCTCACCCCAGCCCCAGCCCCCCCATCCCACCAGGTGCCCAGCCCCACCCCTGGATGGGCCCCACTCACAGTGCTGCCGGCCTCTATCTGGGGTCTCTCCAAGGCGATGGTGATACAGTTGAGGAAGATAAAAGCCAGGACAACATAGTCAAAGAGCTTGTGGGTGATAATGGTTTGGCAGAGGACCCGGAACCTGGGAGGAGATAGATGCCCTCCACCTCAGCCTCTCTCTCCCAGGCCTGGGCCTGAGCATGCTGGGCAGTGGGAAGGAGGGGACCAGGGCATAATGAGGGAAACTATCTTGGGACAGAAAGCATGGGCCCAGAGAAAATGGCCACGGACCCCATGATGGGCTCTCTACATTCTTGGGGTGAAACTGCCTCACTGAAAACCCATGCTGATCCAGTACCCCAGTCTAGCTTCCCAGGTCACACTTACTCCTAGAGTGGGCTCAGGGAGATGCCCTCTCCTCCAAAAAGTTTTCCCTGATCTCACAATCATAAGGGACCTCAGGGGGCACCGTGGCTGAACAAGAATCCCTTAGATAATACCCCTGACTTTGGGGGCCAGCCAGTCATTGCTTGAAGACCACCAGCAAGGCAGAGACAAAAATGTTCACCACCTCCTCCAGTCTTCCTAAAGCTCTCTGGAGTTCTCCTTCACCCCACTGCTTCCCTCCTTGTATTGTATCATCCTTACAAGTCCAAGTACATGTATCCACGCACATGCACACACACACAAACATACATGCACACATGCATGCACATACATGTACACATATATGGGTGTATATGCACATGCACACGTACAAACAAATACACGTATGCACGCACCCCTATCAATCAACAAGCACGTCCTGTCTCTGTGTGACCTTGGCCAATCACTTAACCTCTCTGGGCTTGATTTTCCTCATCTGTAAAATGGTTGGGGGTTGTACTAGGTTGCCTCTAAGGCCCTTCCAAATCCAGATCTATGATCCATTTATTTAGCCCCTACTGGGTGCCAGAGTGCTTCAGCCACATAGTAGGTGCTTAATAAATGCTGTCTGGTAGCTTGAGTAATCAGTTCAAGGTTGGTACTAAGGGCATTTTCATCTTCATCTCTCCAGCACCCAGTGCGGGGTGTAGGCACCTAGGAAACATTTGTGGAACTGAATTGCACTGTCTGCCCCAGGTTGGAGGTAACAGCAATAGGTAACATTAGGTTCAGGGTTTTAGAGCTAGGAGGGAAGCTTAGAGAGTGTCTAGTCCAACCTACTCATTTAACAAAAGAAGAGACTGAGGCTGAGACACACCGGGGGAGGGGGGGAGAGGGAAGGCTGGGATTTGAACTCTGGCTCCCTGGCTCCATAACCCAAATGTACCATCCCACTGCCCCCCACTTGACTGAAATAGACCTTTACGGTTTTCGGAGTCTGACATCTCTCACTTGGCCTAAGCCTCATGACAAACCAGTGAGGTGGGTACCGCAGGAATCAGACCTGGCCTGAGATCTCATTGATATAGGGAACTCCCAGGTGAGGACAGTCCCGCTATCAGTGTGGGTAGGCACCCTCTCTACAGTCTTAGAGAGTTATCTGGATTTGGCCAAATGAGTCAGAGGCAGCACTTGAGCTGAGTCTCCTTGGCTTTGAGACCAGCTCTATCCACTAGGCCATGGTGTGCCCTCCAGGTAAGGTAACATCTGGGTCCAGCCCCCATGGCTCCTCACTCCCCTCCCCCATGGCCCAGATGCTTCCCCTCCCCTTCCCAGTCCAGTGGTCACCCACCTGTTCTCAGGAGAGAAGAGGTAGACAGACCAGTCGTCCCTGATCTCACACCAGTCAGGCTTGTAAACATCAATCATCTTCCGGATTCGGAAACACAGGCTCTGTTGGGGGTAGGAGGGTGAGAGGGCCAAGGGAGGGGCAATGTGAGACCCCGTCCTCCCGGCTCCTTCTCTCATACCTCACCTCTGGGTTGTCCTGGTTGGTAAGAACCAAAATAGACCGGCCCCCTCCCCTGCTGCTAATGGCATTCATGGGCTGCAAGACCACCTATCAGCAGTCTCATCTTCTCAAACATGGCAGACATCCGAAGATGGCGGCTGCCAAATGTGCTCAGGGGGGCACCACCATCCCTTTTCAGCATCACGTGCTGGGGCCCCCATTTCAGGTCCTTATGTGCTTCTATCTAGTGCAACTAAGTCTCCCCAGGAAGACTGTAAGCTCTCTGAGAGCAAGGATTATGTCTCTTCCCTCCTTTTTCCGCCCTCAGTCTCCTTCAAGTGTGCCTACCTAGGGCACAGTGATGACTGAATCCACAGTAATGGACTGATCGGCAGTCCCTAATATCAGCTCTGGGAGGCTCATTTCTGGAATCGGAGTAGATTCTAAGCTCCCTGAGGGCAGGGAGACTTCTGTTTGTTCATCTCGGTGTACTCAGTGCCTGGATGAGAGAATCCGGACCTGGGATTCCATCAGTGTAGAAATGCCCTCCTTTGACACAGATTTATGGCTCATTTGGAACTGATCATTATCCACTACAGCAAGGCCTCCTCTGTCTCCTTCACCATAGGAGGTTCTTAATAAATCTAGGGTGCGTCCTAAATCTGAAGCAAGTAGATTTTAAAAAGTTCAGAGGAAAGATAAGAAGAATCTCATGGAGTTAAATGTTTCAGGAGAAATCAGCCCAGGAGGGATGAGACATTCTAGAATGAAATTTCAAAGAAACAAAGGGAATCAATTCCAATGAGGGGGGAAAATGGGATTGGTCTTAAGAGTCAGATGTAGACGCATAGGAAGCTCGCCAGCCAGTTAAGATTCTAAAACCAGCAAGAGACTCTAATGACAACAGAAGGGGTAGGCTTTTCTTAAGCAGCACTGGGAAGAAAAGGGGTACAGCTTTTGTTTGAGATGGATGGGACAATGATATGGAAAAAAAGGCAGCCAGGGGAATGACATTTGCATAGGGAATGGTAGAACAAAAAATGATTAGCAGGAAGCTGATACCCAAGATAGGCAAGGAGAAAGGAAGAGAACATTCAGCCACCCTTGATAAATTCAAGACCCCTGATTCACCAAAGTTTTAAAAACAAATGTGAAAAATACATGCAACTGGGAAATAAGATATACAGGCAATGGAGTATAGAAATCTATCCTGCCCTATAGGAAAATAGAAGGGGAAGGGGATAAGAAAAGGGAGTTGATAGAAGAGAGGGTGGATCAGGGGAAAGGGCATTCAGAATGCACGCCATCTTGGGGAGGGGGAAGGGGAGAGATGGGGAGAAAATTTGGAACTCAAGATCTTGTGGAAGTGAATGTTGAAAACTAAATTAATTTGAAAAAAAAGACCTCTGGTTCAGATGTATAATGAAAGAGCTGGTAGATATGATGATTAGGTCATCATCAGTGATATTTGAAAGATCCTGGAAAATGGAAGAGGGATCACAAGAACTGGATAAGGGGAAATGTCCTCCACCAAATTTCTTTTTCTTTTTTTTTTTGCTAGGCAGTCGGGGTTAAGTGACTTGCCCAAGGTCACACAGCTAGTTAAGTGTCAAGTGTCTGAGGACAGATTTGAACAAAGTTTCATCTGATTCCAAGGCCAGAGCTCTATCCACTGTGCCTGGTTGGTAAGAACCAAAATAGACCGGCCCCCTCCCCTGCTGCTAATGGCATTCATGGGCTGCAAGACCACCTATCAGCAGTCTCATCTTCTCAAACATGGCAGACATCTGAAGATGGCGGCCACCTCGCTGCCCGCCCCCACCAAATTTCAAAATTGAGATGACCATAGAACTAGCAAACTCTAAGCCAATTCTAGGATGGCTGTAGGTAAAGATGTGTTCATCTGACTTGCAGAGGACACTAAGCTAAAAGGGACAGCTAACATGGCGGATGACAGAGACAGGATCCAATAAGATCACTACAAAGAACATTGGGCTGAAACTAATCACCTGGTATTCAATCAGGATAAATATTAAGTCTTACATCTGAGTATAAAAACTCAACATCAGAAGTCTAAGAAGAGCACCGGCCCTGAAGTCAGGAGGACCTGAGTTCAAATCCGGCCTCAGACCAAACACTTGATACTTACTAGCTGTGTGACCCTGGGCAAGTCACTTAACCCCAATTGCCTTTAAAAAAAAAAAAAGAAGTCTAAGATGCAGGTGGCATGGTTGGACAGCGGCTGTTCTGAAGAAATCTGAGGGTCTGAGTGGACTGCAAGCCACATGAGTTGTCAGCTTGCTAATTCAATTTTGAGTTGCACTAAGAGAAGCCTAGAGAGGTGAGGGCCCCTCACCTGGGCTCTGCCATCATCAGGCCTCCTCTGGAGCCTCGTGTTCAGTTCCAGGAGCCAAGGTTTAAGAAGGACATTTATAAGCTGGAGCTGAGGATCACAGAGGAAGCAACCAGGAGGTGAAGGGCCTTTAGACAGTCTCCTATGAAGATTAGTTAAAGGAACTGGACCTGTTCAGCCTGGAGAAAGTGGGCTTGGGGGGGGGGGCGGTAAGAGGTGCCATCATGGGGAGGAGAGATCGTGGAACCAGGGGCAATGGGGGAGGGAAAGCTGCAAAGAGGAAATGGAGCCTTCAGAGCCATGGTGGGAGGGGCTGCCTGGAGCGGGGGAGGGGTTCTTCCCTTCCTGGAGGTCTTCAAGTGAACATCAGACAACCACTTGTCAGGTGGGTTATAGTAGGGGTTCTTTTGGTGTGGGGGCTGGACCAGGTGGCCCCTTCCAATTCCCAAGTTCTGTGATTCTGCAAAATGTGGAATCAGGGTCAGAAGACCCAAGTTCAAATCAAGGAGGAGAAATGAGAACCATAGAATTCAGAGGTGGGAGGGAGCTTAGAATAGGGAATGTCAGAGCTAGGAAGGGCCTTAGAATAGGGAATGTCAGAGCTTTGAGGGAGCCTTAGAACTAGGAATGTCAGAACTGGGAGGGAGCTTAGAACAGGGAATGTCAGAGTTGGGAGGGGGCTTAGAACAAGGAATGTTAGAACTGGGAGGAGGCTTAGAACAGAGAATGCTAGAGTTTTGAGGGGGCCTTAGAACTGGGAATGTCAGAACTTGGAGGGAGCTTAGAACAGGGAATGTCAGAGCTGTGAGGGGGCTTAGAACAAGGGATGTCAGAGCTGGGAGGGGGCTTAGAA